TGTCTGAAGTCATGAGTACAAAATTGTATAAATTTCTATTATTGGGATCACTCCAACCATCAATGGCTAAAAATAGGAATAATTAATTGATCATTCATTAACAAAAAATATTTAGCAATTGTAATCTCTTCTTTTTGAAGTTCTTCATTGATTTTTATTTTTTTATTTTAATGTCCAATTTGAAATGATTTCAATGAATTCACCACAGATAGTTCCTGGACACTTGTCACATTCACTTGCAAGATGATTTTGAAGTTCATCTGGTTTACCATGTGCCCAAATTTTTTCACAATAATTACAGGTAGCTACATAATGTCCCCTACTACTAGAAACAGTTTTATTAAAATGGTTCCATACTTGCATCTCAGGTCCTCCTGAACTGGATTTTCTGGTAATAAATGTAGATGTAGAAACATCATCTTCAGAAGAATTCATAATTGTAATAAAAATCAATTCTTTGGAAGGTGAGCGAATTTATTTTTTGTGTTAATTATGGATAATCCTTTAAATAAAAGAAAGCGAATGGAAAAAAATTTTTTTTTGTTAATTGTAAATAAAAAAATTTTGTTTCTTGAAAAAAAAAAAGAATCAAAAATTTATTTTATTGTTTATTAATAATCTTGAAAAAAATTCACATATATTAATAATCCAAAGAAATTTGGTAAATAAATATTTGCCTAATATTTTTTTTATTCAAAATGGCTAGAAACCTGCAAAATTGCATAAAATCAAAATAGTGATTAATAATGGTATTAACCATTTTTTGCAAACAGGATTTCCAAATGCGTATTTTTTTTATGTAAGATAATGGATTGTGTCTTGCGTCACAAATTGCGTCTTGCGTCATGAATTTCGTCTTGCGTCATGAATTTCGTCTTGCGTCATGAATTGTGTCTTGTGTCAACGCGTCAAATTTATGATTGGTGATGCAATGTTCAATTTTCTAGATTTTTAATTGCATTTGACGCAATTTAATAATTTTGACCACATGTATAGACCAATCATCAGCATTAAATCCTTTTTGAATCATTGATTCTGGCATCATATCCAAAATATGGCTTCTAGCTGGGCTGAATAACATATAAAAAAGAAGATTTATCAGATTAAACTAATCAACATCAATAGCTATACTATTAATAAGCAATTCCCACAATCCTTGTTTTTACCAAACTTACTCAAATGGTGATGTTGTTTTGTTGCAATAATTGTTTATGATAACCAATATATCAACTTTATTTGAACTCCTAATATTTGTAATATCTGATAAAACAGGTTCTTCATCCTATAAGTTATTATTATTTCAAATCAAATCAGTCAAATCAACTATTCATTAACACGTTAAAGATAAATTAATTAAGTATATAAGATAATTTCCTTTTTTTCAGTATTTCTATGAATTTTTTTTTAGTCATTTTTTAAAGGAAGAATTTTTTGTAGAAATTGTGATTAGTAACTAGAATGACAATGAGTTGCAACAACTGCCACCATCCTTAAAACACTTACCCTTGAATTATTTCATTATTATAATTATTTTCTTTATTCTTTTTCTTTGTTGTTTTTGTTGAGACCTTTTTTTTTAAGGAAAAAAAAAGTTTGTTATTTGATCAACATGTACACATTAATTATTTTCCCTATATAGTAATGATCGTCATTTTACACAAAATAAAATAAGCCGATCACAGGGAAAGCCCGCTATGTTATTAAGGGTAGAGTGTAGTCATGTGATTTTTCATAACAACTGAAAGGATAAATTTTTTACAGTGATGATCATTTTCTTATGTCACACATTAAAATAAATGATAATAATAAAATAATTCTAAAACGATCAAGTTTTTAATAAATAATTACATCCTTTTGATTTAGCTTCAACAACCTTTGAAGCCATAAATAATCAAGCTACAAGTTAAGGGTAGTGTAGGTAACATGAAATTTACTATGATACAGTAGATAATTTTTGACTGCGAATCATTAAAAATATTAGTGTAGTCATGCATGATAACATTATTATTATATACAGTAATACATAGAAAAAATCATTTTTATTTTATTTGTAAAAGAATGACTGATAATTAATATTAAATATTTAATATAACATTGTCCTTTTCTTCTATGGCATCCTTTAGCAAAATAAAAAATAAAAAATAAAGCTACAGTTCACTCTCTCTATAACGAACACTATGTAAAATCTCTATAATGAACTTCCCTTTTAATTAATTTTCTCTCTATAACGAACATCTTAGTAAACACACCTTATAATGAACTGTATATTTTCTCATGTTCCTTACTTATAAATAAATTATGATGTTAGTTAATTATATTACAAAATAACATATTAATTATATTAATTATTTCAAAAATACCAAAATTACAGGAAGCTCCCATGTTTTTGTTTAAAGTAAAAGAAAATTTGATATAACTTCCATGAAGAATAGGTATATAGAACAAATAGTGTATGTAGAGTAGGTGGAGATATATTGCTATCTTGTTATTGACTTCTACTACCATCCCTCAACTCATCTATATAGTTGTTTTTAAAAAATTCTATTTTTAAATGTTTTAATGATCTAAATTACATGAATAGAATTAATATCACTTACTTTGATTAAAAACAGGCAATGTTCTTTTGGTATTTATATTTACAGTGTGTTACAAAAAAAATTGAAAATTTTTTGATGTAAAAAAAAATTTAATAACTTTACCAAAAACGGTCTGATCCGCATCAAATAAAATTCAAAACAAAGCCTTTCTTTATTAGATTTAGTCTGTTTTATCTGTTAACCAAATCGAATAAAAATTTTTTGTGTAATTTGCTAATAAAATGACACAATCTACAAAAGAACAGCAACATACAACCTTATTATATTATTGGAATCAGGGAATATGTTCTGCTCATCAATTACATAATATTATGAACATCCCACTCTCAGCTATTTATTTTAATATTGAAAAGTTGAAAAAAATGGTAATGTGGAACATAAAGGGGGTAATGGTAGAAAAAAGAAAATTACTGCGGAAGCATCATGTGCAATCGGACAATATATTCATAGAGATTCTTCTATTTCTTTGAGGTCTTTGGCTAATAAAATGTTAAATAAAGGAATAGAGGTCTCATATGTAACAGTATTAAGGCATTTGGAAGGGATCGGATATAAGAAAAATTTGCCAAGAGCCACCCCAATGCTAACAATAAGCATAAAGAACGTCATGTAGAGTGGGCACAAAATCATCTTATGATAATTGGGGGAAAACCCTATTTTTGGATGAGACAGCTTTCCAGCTTTACCGAAACACAATTGAAAGATGGTATAAGAATGTAAGACCCATTTGCCCAATGCCAAAAGATCGCACCAAAATTTTTGCTTGGGGTGGCTTTTGCATCCATGGAAAGACCAGTCTTTTTTGCTTCTGAGAAATTATGAATGCAGAATTTTATGTTGAAATATTGGAAAATCATCACCCAGAGATCCAAAAAATGTTAGGGGATGATTGGTGGTTTCAACAGGATAATGATCCCAAACATACAAACTGCCAAGCTAAAACATTTCTTCAAGAAAACTTTCCCAAAGTTATGGATTGGCCATCCAACAGTCCTGATTTAAACCCAATAGAAAATTTGTGGGCTATTGTTAAGAGGAATGTGGAGAAGAGAATGCCAAAAAATCTGGCGGAATTGGTGCAGTTTATGGCTGAGGAGTGGGATGCAATTCCTAATTCACTTCTAATTAGTTTAATTCATTCAATGAAATCAAGATGTGAACTGGTCATTGAAAATAATGGCGAAAGGATTTCTTATTAAAATATTATCAATAAAAATTATGATTTTAAGCTATCAAATGAGCCATTTTTCACACGAACTAATACAGTAGTTGTTTCACAATGTTCATTTAAAAATTTCCAATTTTTTTTGTAACACACTGTATATATTTCAGATAAAATGCACTCCTTCATGTATTCAATCATTATTCTATCTGCCACTCATATTATTGAGCTGACCGATCCTGCTGGTATGGAGTTAGAGTGAATATTGAAAACAATGGTATTAATACAAGTCCATGTATGATTTCTAATATGGGGATTTTTGTGTTGAATGGAAATGGGTTGATATGTAAAAAATCAAAGTAAAAAATCATTACCAGCTTTTCTTTAGGAAAGATAACGAAATAAAGTTTATTTTAAATAGATATATATGAATAAGTTATATAATTATTAAATCAAACAAATTGAATAAATAGATGTGTATAATAATTAATATATTTATGCTTCTATTTCTAAAAGTCGCTTTTGGGATCTAGACCACAATTGACTCTTTTTAGAATCTATCCAATTATCTGGAATATAATATTCCCGATAACAACTAATTTC